AGCAGGACCAACTCTACCTTGTCAGGGTCCAAGTTTAACTTGAGAGGTTTGTGTCCCTCCAAATATGATATAATGACATTATGGGACGTAATGAGTCATAGTACTGTGCGACCGTAAGTGAATAAGAGGAACTCACCAAGGGATGGGAAGCCACACATTACAGTAAACTTCAGTATGTCAACACAAATTTATTGTAATGTGCAGTTTCTGAAACTGGTACTGGAGAATCCATTATTATTATTATTATTATTATTATTATTATTATTATTATACACGCTGAAGTCCTGTGGGGGAGGGGGGGGGGTAGTTGTGAAATATTTCTGAAACTTTTTCTTGGAATAGACCAAACAGGCATGGACAGTTTAATATCCAGAAAATATGGCGCATGGCTCTACAGAATCACATTTTAACTTCTTCATTTCCTGTATGTGTTTGTATTTGTAAACGTTATGTATACCTCACTGCTGATTGAATTTTCCGCCTGGGATAGATAAATTACTACAATTTTGTTTTGAATTGTTCCTGCTGTGTAAGCAGCAGTCATGTCCCATAGCAGAATAAAACATATTACCCATGATTTATGTTAGATATGGAGTTAATAGCTGAGATTCCCTTAAGGGAACGGTAAGTATTTACTGCCTGACCGCCTGGAGTGGCCAGGTTTTTCACATGATTCAAAGAATTCAGATTCTACAGAGAGAAATTACGAGATATGCGCACTCATCTCACGTTATCACTGACTCACCGCTGAAGAGCGTGTTTGTTACTCAGCTGTCATAGACCACGTGACTACAGTAAACTGCCGGGATTTGATTTCACGTGGTGAAGCACCGGAATCATTTCTGCCAAAATTCCCAGGTACTGCCGTCAATTATGCTGTATGGGGACTCTCCAAACACCAGCCAGCATTCTTAAAAGAAACAAGCAGCCAGTCGAGTCTACAGATCGCAGAGGACTCAGTACTAAGCAGAATGGATTCAAGAGCGTTAATATCGATGCTATTCTTTAGCTTACTGTCAACAGGTAAAGTGACTGACTTCTCTTGTTTATAACATGGATTATAATTTTTATATAATGATCCCACACCAACGATTGATAACATATTTGCTTCGTGTTGCATGTGATAGGCAGACTTCGCTGTTGTTCAGCAAATTCAACAATTGTTTAATTAATAGACAGATGGTTTGCAGATTACAAGAATGGTTTTCTTACCAACGAAACTATACTAACCGTAGTGGATTTAATAACATATATTATGCAGTAAGCACCGAGGTAGGTTTGGGGACAGCGGATAACTTTCGGACAATCGTTATGAAAGAATAAAGATTATTTATTTGAGTTTTTAAAAAGCAAAGAGAGACAAGTTAGACGCCTTTACTCCCCTAGTGCTCCCGTTTCAGATACTTTCTGCGATCTAAGTGCGGGTTTGGATTATTGTGTCTCGGGATATGATATCTCTTGTTCTATGTTCTTTCAAGAAAATGTTTTCTGGTAGAAACAGATAAAAGTGAAACTGTATTCAGTTAGCAAAACGTGTCATATAGTATCTTGGGTAATAGCTAAAGGTACTTTTTCTCTCCCCAACCAGGCTTTTCGACAGAAGTTAAGGCACATGGGGATACCAGCGCTGCCTTTGGACAAAATGCATCTTTTTTCTGTTACCTGTCGAACCCTGCAGGAGTTTCCCAAGTCACATGGCAGAAACTGCGAAAAAACGGCGTGGTGGATGACCTGGCTACGTACAGTACGCGATTTGGGAAAAATGAGATGAAACCAAACGTAAAATTCCTCGAGGCGTTGCTCAACTCGACCTCAATTATTGTGAATAATGTCTCCACGGCAGACGAAGGATGCTACTTCTGCACCTTCCACGTGTATCCCAGTGGATCTGTGAGGAAAGAGACCTGTTTGACCGTCCACGGTATTTGAAGTTCTATTTGATTACAGCAGTGTCACATATAGTTCATTATATACAACTAAAGTTCAAAATTTACTTGATCTTGAGCGGGGTTTGCATGTTCGACCCCATTCACCACGATAGTCTGGTTAATTATTTGGGGGGAGGGTTGTACGTACTGGCCACCAATTTACGCCCATGGTTTTCCATGTGTCGCACGGGTTTCCTCTGGGAACTACGGTCCCTCCTCCCCCCATCCCAAAGTCATGCAGTTATACTAATTGTCATGTCTAAAATGATATATGAGTGTGTATTTGATCTGCGACGAACTGACACCCAGTACAGGGTATGCCCATTTATTGTACTCTGCCTGGGAAAGGATCCCGCTGTAGTCACGATCCCTGTTAATGATAAGTTGATATTGAATGGAACTGACGAAGTGCACGAAATCATTTTATCATTAGAAAAAATGTTGGAAAACTACTTAAATTATTTATAAATGTAGGTTGCAGTTTGACTCCTCGTGAATCGTGCAGGTCTTGAGGGTTTCGCATTTTTTCTCCTAAGGAATATCAAACGTGTCAACGAAGCTGATTCTTAGTAACAAGGAAACGCCGCAAGCCGGGGATGTTGTCAGCTGCTCGGTCACGGGCAAACCAGCTCCGAAGGTAACATGGAGCAGACCCGATTGGCAGGCGAATGAATCTGTGGTGTCCAACGAGGACGGCACCGCCACTGTGTCAATCAACTGGACACTCAGTACGGAAGATCTTGAGGACAAATACGTGGACTGCGTGATTGGCTCCAGACTTGAACGTATCTATTTTAGCAATAACACAGACACCGGTGAGACACTTAAAGGTGATTTGTTTCTTATTATCGCTGGCTTAGATGTATTGTTTTGATTTTATTACGATCGAAAAACAAGACCGTGTGATTAAACGTTACTTAGACGATGATGTCGCTAATCACAGGGACATTTCTTGAGGTTGTGTCACTCTATAAATACATAGGTACTTTCCTGGACCTTCGTTCTTATAAATGACTCATGTGACTTACGATGCGTGAAGCCTTATCTTAATTGGGGATTTCGTGAAATCATACTGTGAGTTTAATACTGTAACAAAATATATGTGACTCACTTTTAAAAGTGAAACCAAAATACGCAAAGCGGAATCTACAGGGAGCTGAATTAATTTGTACGTTTGTGTTTACTTCACAGACCGTCATCATTTAGTGGTAGCTGGAGTCCTGCCGATTCTGGTTATCGTGGTCCTGCTTGCACTGTTCATAGTGTATCGTCATGTTGCAAAACGGCAAAAAGGCAAGTATGTTACGAGGGACACGTAGTTCAACGCCGAACGATCATGTGCCCACACCTTAGTCTCGGGCATGTACACTTGGATTGCACGTATAATGTCTAGTCCCTCCACGTTTGTCACCACGTATCTGATTTCTTTCCTTATAGGCTGTGCAAGAGGCTTTATAGAGCGAAGCTGTTGCTACTCTGTGGTGTCAAGTGAAGGAGAGTGCCCAGTCGCGGAGCGATGTCTGCCTTCGTCCGCATGCCTTGCTGTATAGCAGAGGGGGCTCACATCGCGGATGGCTGAAGTTACCGTGATGCTCTTCATTTCTGGGATTGAGAAACCAGCGTTTGCCAGCGTGGCTGAAAAGGGGGGCAAGTTAGGACGATTCCAATGGCTCCTGTCACTAACAGGACATAACTGAATTGGCCCGGTTTGGGGGCCCATTTTAGTATGTGTTCATATGGCCCAAAACCTCCAAATGCTGACATTGTACCTGTCATTAAAAGTGCTACCTCAGTAAGAGTGAAACTACAAGAAGGAAGGTGTCACCTGAGAAGTCCAACATGGGCAAAAGAAGCCAGAAAATCCAGGAACAACCCCACATCATTAGCGGGTCACTATAAGCCTATCAGTAGCCGTCTTTGCTTTTCCGGTCGCTAAATGCTACCGGGAAGAGTCATTATCATTGTTTACAGTGCAATCTGAATCTGTTATTTGTGTTTTCACGTTTGTAGGTGTTCTTGAATACTGTCATTACTGTGTCAATGTTTTAAGTCAAAACTAAGCTATCGCAGATGTGCTATTCTTAAATGTTATATGAACAATGCAAATGGATTTGCTTCATTTATTTTTAACGATATATTTATTATAAATTTGCTCGGTTGTTTTAATGACCTTACAATGTTTACTGTTACAATTCCCTGCTTCAGTGTTACTTTAATGTACACTGTTAGACGAAAGGGTGCAACCCTGCCACAGTTTGCTACCCCAAGACACAAACAATATTAATGTACCCACATTGGTACCAAAATATTCCTCAGAGTCCATTTCTGTACGTTAAAAGGTACATTTACCTACAGCTAGGGTGCAAATGGCAGTCCGTTGAGGATACAGTCCCAGTGACAAGTAATTATGCCCTCAGAGATAGAGATTGGTACTTTTTTTCTGATAGTATATGTGAAATGTACCTGAAATGTTTTTTGTACACAAGCAAAGATAAGGCACTTTATAAATACGTCCGGTTTTGTTCGTGAATCTGAAAATAACTCTACCTTGTATGCAATGTGTGTTTTATGGCTTTATTTCATTATCAGTGTTTGTATTATTAACATATTATATTGTATTCCAGAGTATAACTTATATGCATACAACATAACTTATTGGCATTTAGATATGGAATGTATAAACATACCAGTGTTCATATTAAATAAATTGTGAGTTCACATAATGGTGATTATTCCACTTGAATGCTTTGTATATATTTGGGCTGGGCAAATTATGACTTTCCCCTTTGAGTTGCTGCCATGAATTGATGAAACCTCATGTCTGACTAATGCAAATGAGCTATCTTGCACGTGTGTATGGCTTTTAAATAAATGTTGAATATGAACTTGAATATGAACGCCCCGCTCCGTCCGATCTTAATGTAGTGTCACGTTAGATGTCCGTGCCTGTCCGTCCCTCCCTTAATAAACCCCGTTACCTGACTTCCTGGCTGCTCTCGCCTACTTTCACGGCTCGCCTACCGTCCGATCGTGACAGAACTCCTAGCACTAAGATGATTCTCTCGGTCTTCAAAGCTCCTTAATAATACAGCATGTATTTATGAAATTAAGAAAAACTCAAAGACTGGATTTTTAAAAGCCCAATCATTCTTCCCACAACCATCAATGGCTCTAGTGATACGACTGAATTTCTAAAAATATGTCAATTGCAACATTTTGATTTAGGAATTGTAATAGAAGTGATTACATCACAGACATAATATAGTTTACTTTGATACAAATTGAAAAATTATGTCTGGAGGCTAATGGTAGCAGAATTTCAAAATATAACCCTTAAGCCACTGTTTCCCAAGCCAGTCTTTGGGGAACCCCAGACAGTCCATGTTTTTGCTTCCTCTCAGCTCCCAGGGGACCTGTACCAGGTATTCGGTGTTCCTGATTGGCTGGGAGCAGGGAGGGAGCAAAGACATGGACTGTCCATGTTTCCCCGAGGACTGGGTTGGGAAACACTGCCTTAAACCATGAGTTAAAATTTGAATATGTAAGTTGTCACATTGTTGACTGTGATCCATAACTGGTTGTAGTGACAAACCTTTCATTTAATTTAGTGGCAAATTTTGTTAGGTTTTTATAAGTTGCTCTCATGGTGGGGATTATTTTGCACAGATCCAAAGTAACACACCTGTACATGTAAATACTTATTATACGGTACTTTGAAAGCTGACTAAAATATCTGCAGCCGTACTTTAGAGACTTTGTGTGAAAGGACAGCAAACATGGGCACCTTCACACTATGGATGAAGCAGGCCGTCGGTAAGTCCGATCACTCGTTGCTATGGCCTGAGTATTTTGGCCCTGATGCCAAAAAAAAAAAAAAATCCTCAACTTAGTTCCTGATCTTTTTGGTAGCTAGAAACTCCCCTGGATGAAATCAGTCAGAAGCTATCAAATAATGAAACCAAAGCTACTCATTTATTATATCAGGTCAAGCTGTGGGGTAGCATGATTAGCATGGTTAGCCCCGTTGTTTCACTCCTATGGGACCTGGGTTAGATTCTCTGCTGGTTTTCCGTATGTGGAGTTTGCATGGTCTCTCCGTGTCATCGTGGGGTTTTCTCTGGGTATTCTGGTTCCCACCCAACAGTCCAAAAACATGCTGAGGTTAATTGGAGTTGCCAAATTGCCCATATGTGTGAGTGTGCCCTGTGATGGGTCGATGTCCTATCCAGGGTTTTTCTCTCTTTTTTTGAGTTACAGAAAATGAATGGATGGAAATTAAGCTAAAATTACCTGGTCATCAAAGATCAATCATGAGATAGAAAATGATGTATTTTGGTTATAAAACTAGCTGTATGTAATCAAAGTTATGAAAACTGACTGATGTTATTAACAGCAAACAATATGTCCTCTAGTTGCTTGGACCTCTACTAATCTCACTAAACTAATATCACTCTGAACCAATCATTTTTCGTTCTGCCCACAGAACATTTTTGTGTAAGTTGAGCTCCTATGAGCAAGAATGACATCTGCTCTTCACTGACAGACACACTGAACCCACAGCAATTTGTTCACTGCCCAAAGTGGTCCACAGGTGATGTAATAGCACTTACCTCACACACTGCTCTCAGTCACCTGGACGACAAAAGGGGAACTACATGTGGTTCCCGTTCATTGATTAAAGCTCTGCTTTTTACACAATAATCCATATCAAGGACTTGGGGATGAACACCCAAGGGCGTAACTTTGGCTGGAACATTGGGGGGGTTGAGGTCTCCACCCATTACAGGGGAAACATGATTATTGGGAGGGTTATATTGGCTGGATCTGATTATTGGGGGGGTCATGACCCCCCCCCCCCTAACCCCCCTGGAAATTATACACCACCATATGCAGCTGGGTTCTGGACTTTCTGACTGGCAAACCCCAGGGCGTCTGAGTGGGCAGACAAAGATCATCAATCCTCACCTTAACCATAGGAACTCCCCAGGGTTGTGTGTTGAGCCCCCAGCTCTACTCCCTATACACACGACTGTGTGGCAATATTCAGCTTCAACGCCGCTGTCAACGACGCAGTGGTGGAATGCCGCTTCTTCAATGATGAAATGGCCTAACAGATGGAAATATGGAACCTGTCAAGTTAACATCAGGAAAACAATTTCTCCCTGAATGCCAGATAGACAAAAGAGTTGATTGTGAACTTAGTGAGGAAGCACTACAACCCCCTCGAAATCAATGGGGCGCCTATGAAGAAAGTGCTCACATTAAAATACCTGTGCGTCCACATCATAGAGGACCTGACATGGAAAATGCTCTCCAGCGCAGAGACCACAGGTGAAAAGCTTGTGGAAAAGTTCTTTTGCCACTTAGGTGTGCTGGTGGAACTGCACAGTGACCAGGAGTGGAACCTCAAGTCGCAGGTATTTGGCATGACCTGCAAGCTGCTGGACGTTGTGAAGATTTTAAAAAGCAAAACTATTCCAGCCTTTTGAAATATTGGCAATACAATTCGTCAAACGGGGGAACTAATTTTGTCGAAAGGATTTCAAAATACTATTATTTCTGTAATACTGCCCAAGCCTTGACTACTAACTTCAAAACTGTTCATAGAAGTGCTTCCCTTTCCCTACACTGCTTGCATTTATGTTTGTTACATCTGCCTTCTTCTGGTTGAATAACACTGCTATAGCTATTCATGCAAAAACCGCGACCGCAGCCAAACGTATAGCGTGAACGCAAACTGCCGCGTCTCACTTGAATTTAGTGATTAATTGTCATAGTTGACACCCCACAACAACGGAAAGGGTTCTCTGCACTTAGCCCGTATGTGACATAGCAGGGGGCAGCTAGCTAATTCAGCGCCCGGGGAGCAGTGCTTGGGGGTGTTACCTGCAATCTTTTAATTACGAGTGCGCTACCCTAACCATTAAACCACCACTGCCCTCAATAAACATTAGTAAATAAACATAATTATATAAAATACAGATTACATTAGCCAGGCAGACTCTCTCAGACGTAAGTACATCATTACACCATTGGGTGGCGAAAGAGAGGGTATCTCTGTCTTGAACTGCACGGTCTAGTTAGTATAGGGGTGGCCAATCTTATCCGCAAAGGGCCGGTGTGTATGCAGGTGTTGCAGCGAAAACCCGCATATACACCGGCCCTTTGCGGATAAGATTGGCCACCCCTGAGTTAGCAGTTTACTAATGCCGTTCCTGAACGATATTAAAAGCTGAGCGATAAGTAGTTCATTGAATGGACTGAACATGATAAATCGGATGACAACGACATGCAGTAGCCGATATCTTTTTGCTCACTTAAAACATTCGTTCAAACAAAAAGAAGAGGTTAATGAGCAAATCAGAAATCTAAACAATATCAGTATACGGGACAGTGCGACCCTAGGAAACAATTGTATTCATATCTGCATAACTGAAGATTTCTTCTGTGCCCTGATTTTGAAAATATGCAACATTAAAGACTTGCAAATTATTAGTTTATTAATACAAACGTCATAAAATTGTATAATTTAAAGCCACGTGTGAGGTATATAAGAAGCCCCGGGCAGGTGGGCGCTGTCGCAGCGGAATGGGCGGGCATCCCCGGTTAAAAGCCCGGCGGACCTGCGGTGCTGCTGCCGCTTTTCCGAGGCATGTGCTGTGTAAATCCGCGGAGCGCCCAGCACAGTAAGTACTGCTCACTTCTGCTTTCCTTTATTTTTACGGAAATCCCGACAATACAGATAAACATTTACGCTTTCGTCTCCGCAGTCAGAGATAGGCTACTTGGGAAATACTTGTTCCGTGTGTCACGTTTCAAACACATTATTGTCAGTGTAGCGCATAAGGCACTATTGTTCGATCAATTCCAGCAATTTCTCACCCAAGTTTTGTTATTAATCGGTGTTTGTGGATATGCAGTGAATCCTGTTTTCCCATTCAGGTGTTACGCCGTGGCTTTACTCATAATCATGTCTCTGTTACGGATAACATACTACATAGGTGTAATAATTTACCTTATCTTAAAATGTTTTGTACTCACATTACCACTTTATTTTAATTGTCCCAAACCGATTTCAAAATGTAGGACACCTTGATATAGCGCTATGCTTCTATATTTTTATTAATTTTTTTTAACCAAACTTGTGTAACTTGGTATCTGGTCGCTTTTATTTGAGATGTGCGATGTCTTCATTATATTGAGATATATTTACTGTGTACTGATAGACCTATAATTTTCCAAATGAGTGTTTTCCACACTGTGTGCGTGTGTCTTTCTGGTCACGGGCGTCTTATGGACACAATATTGATGTTCTGCTCACTGGCTTGGTGAGTACCAATATCATCAACAGTAATCCCTAGTAATCTCTAACAATATTTATTTAAAGTACAGTAATGTTGATAAATGGGGAATCAGTATATCTGTACCCATAAAACCCAGTTGTTTGGCTGTGAGAATGTTAAGTTGGATGGCCATGAATCATTTAGGGCCGTTTTAATGTGTGTTTCCTTGCTACTGGCACACAGGAGCTGGGCATGTGTGCCTGTTTGTCCTTCAACGGGGGGCGTCGTGGCAGGTGTTTCTGTTTATCGCAAAGCTCCTTTTCCTCTCCCCGGTTTAATACGATTTCTGTGCCTCGTCTGAAGCATTTAAAGTCTGGGGCTTTGGAGACATCAGAGCAGTTCGGTTCGCATCCCGCTGGGCTGTGATGGATGATTGCGAAGCCCAGCCGTGCTGTGGCCGCCTAGGGTCTGCCCTTCAGGCAGGCAGACAGGGGGTCCTTGTGTAGACATTCTGTCAGCTGTTTCCACTGGTTTTTGGGAAGCTCTTTACCAGCGCTGTTATAAACCTGTCTCACCACCAGCACTAGTTGCTCTCTGCAGTGGACATTGCTCAACACTCCACCTTTCATCAGTGTCATAGCCATCAAATTTATTATTTGAATGAACGTTACATATAGGTTTTAAGACGACTGAAGCGCTTCACACAACCAATGGAGAGCCAGTTCATCACTATTTGTGCTGCACCCGCCTGGATGATGCAACAGCAGCCATTCTGCACCAGTACGCTCACCGCACAGTGGCTAAGGTGGTGAATGGGCAGGAGAGGATTCACCAGTGAGGTACAGGGGATGATTAGGAGGCCGGATTTGATAGGACCACAGTGGGGAATTTTAACCAGGACATCGGGATACCACCCCTACTCTTTCAAACGATACCTAGACATCTTTTATGACCTCAGTCAGGACTGTGGTTTTACGTCTCATCCAAAATTCAGAACCATTTTATAGCATGGTGTCCCCATCACTGCACAGGATGGGCTAACCTGACCCACGCTAACAGCCACAACCCAGCTTTCCTTGTCACTGTACTGGCCAGGCCCAAACCAGCTTAGCTTCAGAAGGGTTACCTGCTCTACTGCAGGCAGCATGGCTGCGGGAATACCGCCATAACATCTACAATAGCCACCGTATCTGTTATATTGTGTGGGTTCCCCCAGCTCCCCTGTGTGTCAGTGTGTCAGTGTTTGCTTATTCTCAGTTATTTATATGCATTACCTGTCACTCTCCTTGTCCCCTCTTCCTCATGTGTTGCAGTTGTCTTGTTTATAGTCTATGCTCTTCATGTATAAATATTGCACCGTGGTGCTGGGGAACTTTATTTCATGCCTCTGTATTATATGGATTGTATGCAGTATGACAATAAAGACCCAGTTGACTTAACGTGACATGAAACACTGGAAAGATCACTTTTCTGTGCAGCACTGATCCGGAATCTAAATCTGGCTGATCTGACTATCATCGCGACGCTTTGTGGCCTGCTGAAGTGCAAAACAAGTAATTGTGTCACCTCGACAGAGACCGTCCCTGGGCCATAAGAGCAGGACGTACGATGGCATCAGTGTAACCCCTGAGCATCCACCCTTGTGATGGATGTAAGTGGCGTAAGTGAATTTCAGGGGGGGGGGCTGCAGAATTGCGCACACGCTGAGTTTCGTGGCTGTGGGCCGGATGTTGCTTTTTGTCCTGTGCAGGTTGCTGTGGTGTCGGTACATTAGAAGCCCCCCCCCTTAAGGATGCTAACGGCATGCGCTTTGTCTTCATGCTGCACCCCTAGGCCACCATGAGCAAGTCCCCCGTGCGGCGATGTCTCCAGCTCTCTCTACTACTGCTAATGGTGTCTCCCTTGCAAGGTGCCTTTTGACTTTTACTCTGCTCTCTTAAGCCCCATTCTGACCAATTAAACACAATAAAAACACTTATTTTCCTCCCAACCAAACAGTAGCTCACAAATCATGGATTTTTACTCTGGAGGCTTGTAATAATGTCAAACGTGGCAGATTCAGACTGGACAAAAATTATGGACCTCATTGGTTATTGCTTCAGTTACATTACGCCCCCAGGTAAAACTAATTCCACGCGAATAGGACTTTAGTCAGCATGGAATCGATATAAACAGATGGGTGCTATAGACTTTATGAGGAGAAATGGCTGCTTTCTGTGGATTGTTAACACTTGGGTGTGCAAACGCTGTTCCCAGGCAAGGTTAGCGCCCAGCCTCATGTGCAGGTTCTTGTGGGGCTTCCTGCTACACTTCGCTGCAACCTGGCACTCTCTGGGTCGGAGGTGCTGAAGCAGGTGCGCTGGGTCGATGGCCGTAACGTCACCGTCCTCAGCTACATCTCCCGGCACTCTGTAAGTGCCGTGGAACCCGAACGCGTGACGCTGACGTCCGCCACCCGCGACTCCAGCGCCATCACCATCTCCATGGCGGGTCCGCGGGACGAGGGCTGTTACACGTGCATCTTTGACGTGTATCCTACTGGTCCCCAGGAAGCCCAGACCTGCCTGGTCCTCACAGGTAAAGACCACCGATTTTCCAGTTTTAGAGTTAACTTATTTTGGCGTCTTTGGCTCCGGTTCAACCTCCAGGCTGAAAACATTCTTGTATAAACACCGGTTTCTCTTCAGATTTCAGTCTCTTGTAATGTCTGCAGCTGGGCACCGCGGTTTGGTTTCCTGTAACCAGCTCTGTGCTTGCTGTGGCTAAAGAGTCCATAAATTATTGTTTTGATTGTTCTCGTGAAGGATTTAAAAGGCATGGGTACCGATCTTGTGTGAAAGCTTTGTCCAGTGTTTCAGGAAATGAATCAGCGTCATCAAACTAATGTGGCACAAGTGGCTGAGACTTCAGAGAACAAATTACACGTTTGCCAGCCGTCTCCCAGCATGCCTCATTGCTATAGGAACAGGAAGTGGGCTGCGGGAAGTTTCCACCAATGACCAAGCTGTGTTTAAATACTGATGTAGTAAAATGTGGGGACTGGACTGTGTACAGCAGGTAGTGCAGCAGATTTGCGGGAGGGTGGGAGGATAGACCTTTATTTTTTTTCCCTGGGAATGAAACGAATACGCTGCATGACTTATGGGTTACAGCTAAATAACGGCGCCATCTAAAGGCCAACAAATGCACATACAGGCAGGAGCTGTGTCTGGCAGGTATGCACGTCTGATCCACGTGTCCTCCTCGTGTGGGATTATAGCCAAGGTGACCCCGGACGGGAACCACACGGCAGTGAGCGGGAGGCAGGCCACACTTGCGTGTCGCTACGGTCTCGCCCGGAGGGTGCAGCAGGTGCAGTGGATGAAGGCCGGGGAGCGCGGTGACTCCAGTGACGTGGCCTCCTTCAACAAGCACGGGGAGCCCATCATCCTGGACGCCCTGCTGGGACGCATCAGCCTGAGTCGCACGCTGGACGAGAGCCGCTTGTTCTTCCGGCCCGTCAGGACGGAGGACGAGGGCTGCTACACGTGCGAATTCCACGCTTACCCTGAGGGTGTGAGAAGTGCTGTGGTCTGCCTCACTGTCTATGGTAACTCAGGGCGGGGGAGGAGGAGGGGGGGGCAGCCTGTCTCAATTTCAGTATTACGTGCTGGACTCACGCTTCATTGTCCACAGTCCTTGATCGGAACTAGATAACTCCAGTCATTTAGGGGAAAAAGAAAATGTGCGTGGGTGTTCTAATGAGTGAGTTTCTCTGGAAAGGCTGGGTACGGCTCCAGAAGGCCCTAGTCATTCCCCGAATGAGCGCACATGCAAAGGAAGAGGAAGTGATTAGCATATTCACTATCTTCGACATGTCGATTGTGACGTCAAGAGTTCCCGGGACTTCCGTAGGGCAGTGAAGGGTGCTACGCATAGCAGTTTATCACACTTTAGTGTGCGGTTTTCTCATAGTTTTATGTTTAAATGTTTAATGTCTCAAGTTGGCATGTTTAACGAAAGTAAATGATGGCTTATGAGAATACAGTAACAGTGAATGCAATGTGCTAATTATAATAATTGCTTTGGCCCTATGGGGACACGGGGGGTTTTCTTACGCCTTTGATTATTAGGTTTAACCCGTAAAAGGGCGTCAGTACGGCCATGTTTGGTCGCTGGGAGGGCTCAGTGCTGTCCGACACTGTCAAAGTGGCGATTGTGGAGGGTGGCCTGCCAGTGCAGGCTGTGGCACACACCGTGACTGTCCCAGTGTTCCCAGCAAACAGCCGCTCCTCTGTTGGGCCCCGGAGCCGGAGCCTCGGCCGAACAGCAGCGTGATTGTTTGTCACCAAAGCTGCAGCGATTCCAGCTCCGGAAAGATGCAGCTGATAAAATAGGCTGTAGTGGGGGCGTGAGCGAGGGGGGGGTGTGATCTCAGCCGCTATGGGACAAGGCTGGCTGGCGTGAGGAGTTCTTATACACTTATTCCTTCAGGGTTTTGCCTCTGTGAGGTTAATCATGGAAGACAGCTTGCTGTGGCCCCGATCCTGTTTGTTTTAGTCCTTGAATAGTTAACATTGCTGACAACGAGCAGTTGAAGCTGTTTTCAGATCAGTTCCTTAGTCCTCATACGGTTAATGCCATTTGGAATGAATATTTGAGATTGTTGCCAAATCAGTTTATGCCTTGTGAGAATTCCAGCTGAACAGTCTTTGTGTAGGATGTCTGAAAATTATTCTGCAAAAAAATTCTTCAGGGTTCATGCGTCACGTTCTGTTTGGATTGAGTTTTTTGGCCCGAAGTTCCAGCCAAGAACTGACTTCTATATTGTGGTTGAATGAAACAAAAAAGTCGTTTTGCATATCGCTGAAAACATACTGTGAAAAGAGGAAACCTTAAAACACCTTATTTGTATCTACAAAACAACTCTAGCTCTGCACTGTATTAGTGTGTCACTGTCATCAAATCCTACCTCGAATTCCTCAGGAGTCATTTTCTTAAAGCTGGACTCTTTATCAGCTGTTACTCCAACTCTACCGCATCTGTGATTTCTCTCTTGTTACCATGTTCTCCCCCTAGTGTTGCCGAAGCCCCAGATTACCCATAAAACCACATCGCCGGGGGTGATTGAGGCAAACTGCAGCGCAGTGGCTCGGCCAGCCGCGATGATCGCATGGAACGTGGAGGGAAACAACAAGACCCTGGGCCCAGCGAGCGTCCTGTCTCTCCAGCAGGACGATGGCAGCACCCTGGTTATCAGCACCCTCTCCCTACGCTCTGACTTGCTCCATGACCGATCAATCAAGTGCCTGGTCCACCACCGGGGCCTGGAGTCGGCCATCTCCGTCCCCTTGAACACGAAGAGTGAGTTTCAGGTGGTCTCGTTGCTCCTGCAGCCCGAGTCGCTCTCCCCACTTCAGTTGAGCTTGAATGTCTTCTCCTTGTTGCCGTAGACATGTGAGTAAGTTCTGGCAAATGCAACAGTGGGTTTTAGTTTGCCCAGCTTGTGTAAACTGTGCTGTCCACAAAGACTTCCTGTGAAAGCAAATATTTCTGCAAATGACAGGATTTCAGCCACCTACAGGACTGGATTCCTTTACTAACCTAGTGGTTCTTTGAAGGCTCTAATGTCGCACTTACTGGCCCATGATTCTGAGGATTCGACGGTTTTGTGCCACAATTAACCTGCATGTTTTCTCTTACACACCTGTTGGAACCAATGGAGTAATATACTTTGAGTTGGGGAGAACCTCACCATCTTGGTGTTTGTGTTGCAGTGGGGGAGGCCGTTACAATTCTCATCCTGGTGATCAGCTTGGCAGTTATGCTCCTCGTTTGCCTCTGCATCTGCTTGTGGAAGTGCTTTCTACGCAAGGACTGTGAGTATGACTGCGAGTATGCTAACTGGAGTCTGGGGGGGGGGGGCACTTGGCTGGAGATGGGTATGTGTGAGTTTGGATGTGCCCTTGAAAAAGACTGCAGGAAGTAAAATAATCAGAACAGCAGTTTGATAGACTTTCCTTGAATGAGCTAACGTCCTGCCCTAGGTAGGTGTACCCTGCCCTATTTCCTGGACAGATTCTGGGTCACGGTATCCCTGACTGGATAAGTAGTCATTAGACTGGATTGAGGTATAATGCCAGTTATAGTCTGGTTGTTATTGACCAAATTACAGTACAGAGACACATGGTAGCACGACATCACAGTTCACATCCACATATTATTGATTCTAAACCCAGAAGACCTCTACATACTCTCATAACCCTCATAATGTATAAGGCTGCAGTTTCTCTAGAGGCATGCTTGAGGTCAAGTCCTTGACTCTGAAGAGAAGTGATAGAATGGAAAGGTCCGAACTAAAGACTCTCTGTGGTCTTCCAATGGCTCTGCTGGTGGGACGTCAGCCCCTAAGTCCTGGGAACAGTGACAGCGTGATTTTATCAAGCATGAAAGTGCGGCAGATTCTCACAGGAAAGTTTGTCATCTATATGTTTACTAGGGCACAGCCAGGGGCTAATGGTTCACTTAGCACTATGGTCGGGGGGGGGCTGATCTTTTTTATAAATGATATTTTACTTGCCGTTTGTACAGGTATGTTGGAGTTGCATATGGAACCGAAAATGAAACTTGTACTTGTGACAATTTTCAACGCTGCACTTCTGCAATTTGCAGAAACCACTATATTTATCATGCTTTGCATTTACCCCTCTGTTGTGTCTCTTGTGCCCTTTATTTATATTCTGCCTGTACCTGTCACCAGTCTATTGCCATGTCTCCGAAAGCTGCAAAGCTGTGTCTACAAAAACGTCCACGGGCCTCGGTCACGTGGCAATAGACATTCTGATCGGGTTCAGGGTGGAAGGTCACCTATTACCCAGCAGCCTTGGAGCTATTTTAATGGCCCTGGTCAAGGGCCCAATGGTGGGCAACTATTCTGTCAACCACTGGATTTTAGCAGGCAGCCTTGCGATCACAGGCACGGAGGCTCAGCCCGCAGAGCCACACTCTGCCCAATGTCAGTAATCATCTGTCTTCCTCATCGAGCTGCATTTTCATGCCTACAACTACCAATTCAAGTTTAAACTTCATATTTAAACTGTAACTTAGTGCGGTTAGTTTTAAAAGCGTGTAAGTTGTAAGTCAAAACATTGACTGGCCTGATCCACAACGGATACAGCCTCGTGTTTTCTTTCTGAAGTCAGGAAGCGGAGGGGCAGCTAGGGAGGACTGGGCAGGGTCACAGGTCATTATTCTATTTAGCATGACTCTGAGCTTTGCCTTCTGTTATGTTTCCTTTGGTCATGTTCAAGGAACTGGGTTTGCACTGTTATCAAAAACACCCTCCGTGATGTGCAATCCAGCCTTAAAGTACCATCAGTTAAGCAGTACTTCTGTTTATATAAACAGCCTGGCTGTACATTTTAGTGGCCGCTCTTGTTTTTTCTTAGTCTGTCGTTCGTAACTTGAACTTTGTCTGTTTCCTGGTATTGTCTTTCTGCTCAGTCCAAGTCCTTGTTTCTTATCACTGCCATTTGATCCCTCTGAACATTTCTTGCTTCCTGACCTCCGACATCTGTCTCTTATATTTACATATTTAGTTGATGCTGTTGTCCAGAGCAACATACAAGCGAGACAAATGGCACAAAGCAAACATTCATGCCGTCCAGCAGTCATCTAGACATAAGCGCAGCTATGCTTATCTTCCATTGAACGCCCAGGTACAATGTAAGCAGTATTGGGGCAGGAGATACATAACAGCTGTGCAACCACACAATAACGTCTAATAAACCAACACCCTAATAAGGGCCAGTAAGTGCAACATTAGAGCGTTCAAAGAACCGTCAGGTTAGTAAAGGAATTCGTGGAACTGAAGGTAGAGATGGAGTCTGATGACCGGAGGTAGTTGGCAGCTCATTCCACCTGTATTTTTACTGCTTGGTTGCATCTTCCAACATGGAGGTCCTGATTTAGAGCACAGTGTGGACCTTGTTGACACCGGAAAATGCTGGAACTGTTTATCTCAACCCTGGCAGTGAGTCTCTGTCCTACTAATCAGGTCACAGGCTGTTCGGAGTTTCTTTCACTCTTTAAAATTTGCACTGTTTGTGTGTGTATGTGTGTGTGTGTGTGTGTGTGCGCGTGTGATCAAATGTCCCTCGCAATGTATTGGAATCCTGTTATTTTTGACATTGTGGGGACCATTTGTCAGGTCCCCACATATATCTGTGAATTGAATCAAAAAAGTAAAAATGCCAAATGTCTCGTATTTTGTTCGGTAACTTATGATTAAAGTTAGGGCTGGGTAGGGGTTAAGGTTGTCGTGTTGGGATTAGAGTTTTCCCCATAGAAATGAATGGAGAGTCCCCACAAAGATATAATTACAAACTCTAGAATAATCTGAGGCCCCAAAAGTAGTGTGAAATATAGCTGCAGACAGTCAGAAGATGCCCAGGTAATCAGTGGTCTCCCCTCGTTTTGTGGCGAGCCTTTGTGGTGTACGATATAAACGACTGTGGCTTTGGGGCAGAAAGCCCTTGTGGGCTTGTGTGAATCTCACATATAGTATGAGTTCTAGTGAATTAAAGCCAAGAGTTGCATATTCTAACTGAATGTTGACCACTGCAGAAGGGTTCTGTCAACATAATGTTTTACTATACAGTCATAATCCCAGACTTTGCAATAATTGAGCTCCAACTCATTGTGATGCTCGGTATATTACAGATATATTACAGTATATTAAGATTAATACAAAAATTAATTTTCACAAAGTCTGCTGCCTTAGTATTTTATAATTGCAATTTGCATATACACTGCAATGGTATGAAGAGTGATCAGATGAATCACAAAAAACCCATTTCCACTGCATTTCAGCCCTGTCACAAAAGGACCTGCTGACATCATTTCAGTGATTCTCTCGTTAACACAGGTGAGAGTGACGAGGACAAGGCTGGAGATCACTCTGTCATGCTGATAGAGTTAGAATAGCAGACTGGAAGGTGGTGCTTGAAATCATTGTTCTTCCTCTGATAACCATGGTTACCTGCACGGAAACACGTGCAGTCATCAGTGCTTTGCACGAAAAGGGCTTCACAGGCAAGGATATTGCTGCTAGTAAGATTGTACGTAAATCAACCATTTATTGGATCATCAAGGTTCAATTGTTGTGAAGAAGGCTTCAGGGCACCCAAGAAAGTCCAGCGGACAGACTGATATTCTGCAAAAGGTACAGGGATTGGACTGCTGAGGACTGGGGTAAAGTCATTTTCTCAGAATTCCTTTTCCGATTGTTTGGGGCATCCGGAAAAAAGATTGTCTGGAGAAGAAGAGGTGAGCGCTACCATCAGTCCTGTGTCATGCCAACAGTAAAGTATCCTGAGATGCTTTACTGCAGGAGTGATAACTAAGTGGCTCAGGGAACAAAACATCGACATTTTGAGTCCATGGCCAGGAAACGATCCAGACCTCAATTCAATTGAGAACTTGTGGTCAACCCTCAAGAGATGGGTAGACAAACAAAAACCCACAAATTCTGACAAACTCCAAGCATTGATTATGCAAGAATGGACTGGCCCAGAAGTTGATTGACAGCATGTCAGGGCGAATTGCAGAGGTCTTGATAAAGAAGGGCCAACAAATATTGACTCTTTGCATAAACTTAACGTAATTGTCAGTAAAAGCCTTTGACACTTACGAAATGCTTGTAATTATACTTAAGTACACAATAGAAACATCTGGCAAAAAGATTTACAAACATTGAAGTAGCAAACTTTGTGAAAACCAATACTTGTGTCATTCTCAAAACTTTTGGCCACGACTCTACATGGAGCATATACATACATACACACAATTAAACTGTCTGCAATGTTAACTAAATGTAGACTAAACACTAAACTCAGTTGCCACAGTCTTGTCTCTTTAAAAATAGCGAGGCCTATTCTGAGTATGTAATTTGGGGTTTGCTACAAATTAAAAAGTACGCCGGTCCCATAAGACGACCACAGCGTCCTCCTTTCCCCACTCTGCCTTTTTGGGTGTCAGCCAGGGGGGCCAAGCAGCTGTTTTTACAGAGGTAAAGAGGCTGGAGTGGATTTCGGGATTGCTGCTTCCTCAGGCCTGGCTTATGTGGTCGATCATGTGGGTGGACACTCAGTCAAGGGAAGAGCGAAGGAGTAACAGCGGGACCCAAGAGCTCGTTTGTGATGGATCATTATGGTCTTACTGGTCAGAGTCACACTCTAATTCAGTAGCTCTGAAGACCACTGCTAAATGAAGTGGTGAGGATTCCATTCTGTTAGGCCCCTTCGGGGAGGCATTACTCACACGGCACGATTTATGAGACCTAATTAAAAGATATTCTTTGAAGCTTACAGTTATATGATTTCACCAGCATGTTGTAATTGATCTCTGTCCACATTCTTGGGCTCTGTCCAAAACCCACTTTCTGAAAAAATGCTTTCTGCTTGTCCTGAATGAGATCAAATATAAAATATGACCTGGGTGTGCGTCTGAACTGAGGGATTTCTTGTTGCCTTTTGAGGATAAATGTTGTTCTATAGGGCAGTGATTAGCAGTGTCATCTCACACCTTTGGGATCTTGGATCATGACTCCATGTATGTGGAGTTGTTATGTTCTCTTGTGTTGTTGCGTTGGGGTTTCCTCTGGGTACTCCAGCCCCCCCACAGTCCAAAAACATGCTGAGGCTGATTGGAGTTGCCAAATTTCCAATAGGTGTGAGTGTGCCCTGAGATGGGTTGGCACCCCATCCTGTGTTATTTCCTGCCTTGTGCCCATAACCTCCTGGATGTGCTCTGGTCCCCTCATGACCCTGAATAGGACAAACAGTTATAGAAAACAGATGGATATTGTTTCATGATTCCTGTTCCTCCTCTTTCAGGCTGATTTAGACCAGTGCTCAGTCAGATCTTTTCTTTCTTTTTTTTGTAGAGGTTGCATTTTCCTGGGTTCTGAGGCTCCAGAGGCACAGTGTCCGGTAAACGCAGAGCCTGAACGGACACGAGGCGCTCCCCATGCACCGTGCTTCAGGAAGTACCGGGCGTGACCATTTCCCTGCAGGGCAAGACAGCGGAAACCTGTCCCCTGTGTCGTCAGGGCGACGCATCACTCATCCCTGGAAGTTCCGAGAACTTCTGTATTTTGCTCCTTTGTATGTATATGCCGTCTATGGCCTGATGTGATTTCTCATTTCAGGTCAGTTAGAATCCTATGACAAGCAACAATCATTCGTAAAAGTAAGACTAAAGCTGCATTGTTTAAAACTAGACTCCTCTGTTCTGCAGGATTCAGCTCCAGTCAGAGTTTAAAACAATGTGAAGGGAAATTATAGCATCTATAGGGCTGGGCTCCCTGTTTGGCCTGGTGGCCTACAGGGGCCTCATGGAGATGCCACCATAGACAGCCAAAGAACGTGCACCACATGAGGCCAAGATATGGTCTGCAGATCACGTGATCTGCTTTCGCAAAACTGCTTATTCTTATTGTGTTTACTAATGCAAAACTCCTTTCCTTGGGTCTCACTCCGTTCTGAGCGGCATGGGAACAGATGCGTGTCGATTGCGTCTGAAATTATCCTTGGTTGCTTCGGCGTCGCCGCATGATCTCCGTTAACCTCTTCAAGAGGACAGCCATTTCAGTCACAGAGTTTATTTTAGTCTGTTGGAGGCAGATGAATCTTTGGCAACAGCTCAAGGGACACTGATGACAGCTAAGAAAATAACCAGTGCTGGGAACTTTACTGTTTCACTTTCACTGAAATGACAAGTGGACTGTAAAGGATAGAATGAGAATGGAGTCTTAGGTCAGTATTGGTAATGAAAAATAAGCTATATTTGTTTCCATATTAGTTTCCTGTAAAGCCTTCAATTTTCAGTAAAACAGGGGAAACTGTCAGCCTGTAGGTAAACTTCCTTGGAACTTCATGTGAAAAGTCTTGAACACTTTTTTTTTTTTTTTTTACAATGTACTCAGCTGGCCATGTTGCAAGTAGTAACATGACGATGTAGTCGTGACGACTCGTGACAAACGGAAGCGGCACGGCAGCCCTCGTTCCTTGTCATGTCCTGTGCCACTTGGCATCAGGCTTTCTTCTGATGTTAACTCCTCTGCTGGGAATTTCTGACGTGTCTCTAATGTCAGAGCTGAATGAAGTCCAGACTACTGACTGTGTTCCCAGCTGGTCAGATGACAGATTAAATGATACAAAATGAAACTTTGTTTTAGCAGAATGTTCTCAGCACCTCTAGGAAAAGGAGAATTGTGGTCAAATATTTGCAGATAGCGCCACCTGTTGTAGACTGGCAGGGAGATTTTGTGGTGCATTTCTACAATAAGACCAGTGTCTGCGTGTAGCTTAAAAAGTCCTGCTGCCTACCTTTCCGGAAAAGTCCTCCTTATTCCCGGCAACTAGATTCTGCTGTCATGAAGAGGCGAGCCAGAAAGGTTTTAGAAGTTAAACTTGCTGAAGGATTGCAAAATTGTGTGTTTGGAGAAGTACATCGTAAATCAGATCAACTTTATCAGTTACTTTGGAATTGCTGTGCGATAGCAATACCACACCAGTAAGGTCATGTGACACTTACTAACCACACACATGCTGCTTAGGCTCAGTGCTCCCTTGGCCAATGTAGATGGTAAACATGTTGTATGATGTAAAATACTATGGCAAGACCATAAATATACTGTAGATCACACTAGATTTTTAAACATGATCGGTATTATGTTCACTGCATTGCATTTTATTTTACTTTTCATTTCACATACCAGAAAAGAAAAACACTATTTAGAGGTACAGCAGTTCATACATTTATGAAACCCGCTGAACTGTTCTTTTTAAATGATGTGTAAAGTAACGTTTCTGTCCTTATTTCAAGAAATAATAAAATGCAGAAGACAATATAACAGATGTATAAAAAAATAAATGCTAATTTATTTACCCATGTTTTTAACAGAAATAAAACTGCAATAAAAAGTGCTAATACCCAAATATTTTTTACCCTCTGTGCTATGAATCTGGATATGGAAAATCCTTATTTTTTTATATTTGGCTTAATCTCTGTGAATCTTCACCAGAACGATATTCTATTCTGCAAACCAGGAGAACTGACAGAAAATAATTCTAGATGCCTCCCATCTCTTGCCAGTGGCTTTGTTTTGCTTTCCACCTGAAGTGGGAAACATGGTACATTTGCCGCATTTTCACGGATCAATAAGAATGATGTCCTAGTGGGGAGAGAGAAGCCGAACTGGCAGCAGATTGTGTTTTTAAATTGGTGATTGTAGCGGAGACAGTAGCTGACAGTAGCATTAGATTCATGCTCATTTAAGAGGGTTAAAGTAGAGATACGAGGATTATGATGGTTCTGATGTTGATGCATTGAGCCCACATCTCCTCGTCTTCAGTTAGTTAGACATGAGGAGCTGCTGCACATCTGAGTGGTGTCAGAGGTCAACTACTGGCAATTCCTTCTGAGACTAGCATGGACACCAAGCCTTACAGTGTCTTTTACAAAAAAAGTGTGTTTCTTGTAATTTGTCAGGGTAGTCAATGCACATTTCCTGTGATTGCTCTATTCCGTCTTTGATGTCAGATATTTTATCGCCCTCCCTAACTTGCTGTCGTTTCAGTAAGCTTGCTGGTGACTGTTGGTAGACCTATTTTTTTTTGTCTTTCTAGAAGATCTTTCCATAAGACAAAATGAGACCAGAAGCAGCTTTAGAAAAACAGACAATCAAATAATCTTCAAATCATACCCTTTTACTCTACAAGCCAGGAACACTCTGGGGACTTTTCGAGGGGTTGTGGTGCAGGTACGAGCCATGTGTGCAAAGAAGGTGAAGATTCTGCACCTCAAACCCCCACCTCCACTGAGCCTGTGTGACATCCCACCCCTTGCCGGGTATTTGCAAAACTTAAAACCACAGAAACACACCATATTACACCGCCGGCAGACGGCCGTACCACGTCACAGGAAAGGCTTGCTCTTCTCACCCCTCAGCCTGCATTTTATGTTTGTTCCATCTTTGGCTTTCGTGTTGCTGCTGTTTTTTCACTTAGGCTCTTTAAATAACTGCATGATGGGTAAAGAAAAACATTCTACCCACTGTGCATGATGGGTAAAGAAAAACATTCTACCCACTATGCAGGCAAGAAGGTGTCTGTTACTACTGTAGTTAATGTACTAATGTAGAGTCCCCTTAAATGTTATGGAAATTACATAATCATATCAAAAATGTGATTTAGGCTTGCTTAAATGCACCAGCCTATGTCATGCACCAAACATCATCCTTATATCTGGGCATGTGCAGAACACACAGACCTGACAATTGCAGAGGGGTCGGTATATAGCAGCAGGACAAAAGTGATGTCAGTTAAAACAGTGTTTCCAGGGTTTATCCAGTAGGTATAGATTAGAGGAGAAGCAGGTACAGAAGTTGACCCGTGGCCTGTACTACGAAGCGGGGTTACTGGCTTAACGGGGTAACTTGTCAGATTTAAGGTAGTCTGGGCAAAATGTAAATGAACGAATATGAGGTCCATTTAAACGGTGCTACCTTAAATCCGACAAGTTACCCCGATAAGCCAGTAACCCCGCTTCGTAGTACAGGCCACAGGACGATCACATCAGGTTCCTAAAGGACGTATTCACGGCATGGTGGAAAAACAAAACAGGAAGCTAAAGTCTGCAGTGAAGAAATTTCTCGCAACCTTCACATATGGAACTGAGACGAGAAATTTGTCTTTGACTTAGTTCTGCTGCAACCAATATACTATTTTCACCACATTTTAGAGAAAAGAAACAAAATAATGACTTCAGTGAAACTCCTGGGTAAAGTGTACAAAGAAATAGCTTCCTCTCTTTGTCATTACACAAGTATATTTATTAGTGATACACAGCAGTTAATTGCATTACTAATCGTGATCAGAATCAGCATCAAACAAGATCAATGAAATACATTAAAATTCTATTTAAGCCATATAAGTCTATTTAAGCAGTGCATTATTTCATATTCGCATAGTCTCAGGTAAATTATATAATCATGCTTGTGGTCCATCTTACTCCAACACTCATTGGCTGCAATCAACTGACAGTTTAAAAAGACAAACTCTACATTCAACAGAGGTTGCAAAAAACGATTCTCCAGCACCAAAGAAAAGTGGTGGGCATGTTAGCAGATCTGTGGTGATATGTGCACTCCGTTGATCGCTGGCCTGATTACTATATCACAGGTCGATCTCAGTTCCTCTTTGGATGGGACTTAAAGTAGGAAGGAGCCTAGTTGATCTGCTTCGCTTCTTCCTCTTGCCAGAAAGTCCACCTTCCTAATCCACCGGCCTGATCACGGGTTTATACAATGTCTGTGCAACTGACGACCTGCAGAGAATATGTGCAGTGTGCAGACATCAGGACCTCTCATGAGAGGTTCAGATGTTTCATCATCAGGTTGGTGGCTGGCCGATGACGTTGAGAAGCGGAATGGCAGAAATACACGAGAGCTGACCTCAGTCGGAAATAGCTCACACCTTTTGCACGAGAAACGCCCAGTTTTTTGTTGCCTTAGTGCTTCGATTTGGTTAGAATCATGGTTTGAAACCCATCAGCTCTACAGGGAGCGAAGCCGTAGACCTGTCCACGCTCTCTGTTCACTAAGACATCTTGTGGGTGACCTGACACAGTTAGAGCAGCTTTCTGATTGGCTGGCAGGGTGCTCAACTCTGTGCCTGAATTTGTCCTCTGAGCTGGCTGACTGCCTCCATTACCATGATCGTTACTCATCGAAAAAAATAGTGAGTGGCATTAAAAAGCAAAGCCAGTAAAAATAGAGGCAGAAAATGTGGAATTCTGCAGGGATCCCAGTTCCCACTGATCTTCTGCAGTGGGAACCAGGGTTCACTGCACCCGGATGGAAGCATACTCAGAGTGCTCCTCCACGGGGGGCTGGACACGGACCCGGTTCTGGTCTCGCCCCATGGCCCTGTAGTTGAGCGCTGCATACACGATGGTGTTTGGATCCATGTCATCGTGGACACTGGAGCTGTTCATCTCTACGGCCACCTGGCTGGGCACACTGCCCCTGGTGGGCGGGGCTTCACTGGAGGCCTCGTGCTTCTTCCGGGACGTCTTCCTGTGGGGGTGGTTGTCGTGCGCATCATTACCGGAGATTCTAACTGGGTTGGCGTACAGGCTTTGGGACTGGTCAGAGATGCTGGGCCGTGGAGATGCCTGGTGTGTCCTCAGTATCACAGAATACTAGAAAGAGAGGGCAGCCTATCAGAATTCGGCAAACACAGTTCAGCAAATCAGAAAATTACATGACTTACATATTAAGTAGCTATAATTTGCCAATGAAAACAGACTTCTGGTTTTACCTGAATACCTGCATCCTCTTCTTTTGGGGAATGATTTGATCCTGAAAGGAAAAAATAAAACAAAAAATGGCATTTACAATATGCAAAATGGCAGGATTCAAGTTGGTGTAAAATGTAATACTACAAGATAAACTCCAACACTCACCCTGACATCCTCTTTTACTAAAGAAGCTAATGAGCATCACTATGACAACGAGTGACACGATACCAGCATATATGTAGAGCTGAGGAAGGCCCGGGAAATTGTTCTTTGCTCTAGGCTGTCCTGCTGTCAGAAACAGAGATGACAGCTCATGTAAGGCAGACTGAATGCAGCTCATACTACATACCAGGATCCCTGAAGCTAAAACGGTTTGCTCACCCTCTTTATATTAATTATTATATTAAAACTGAGTTTTTTTGCTTCACTATATCAAAATTTGATTTTCATTACATTTTTATTTGCAAATAAATGTTGTTTGATTTAATGCAGGTTCCTGCTTTCTGGTTCTTACTTGTGTTAGCAGAACTTTCATTTCTATCTTGGGTTTGATCTGAAAAGTTGAAAACACAGCTGTTTAATTCATGTTCCTGCCTTGACATTTCCACTAACAGTTTGTCAGGTGGGTAGAACTAAATAAAACATCAGCAAAAACTTAATTTCTTACCTGTGACAGAGACATTAATGGTATGACTGACAGCAGTCACAGTTCCATAAACACCACACCTGTACAGACCAGCATCTCCCATGGACACACGTGTGAAAATCAGTTCTGAGGTGCTGATATTTGGCTCAGTTTCATTGTTTTTCCATTGTATTTTAATGTTGTCTGTTTCATTTACAGTAACGCAGTCTGTAAAATTCTGGAGTTTACACCATGTAACTGCTGGTCTCCATCCGCAGTGTTTCACTGGACAGCGCAGTGTCACTGGTGAGTTTTCTCCAGCTGATGTTATGGTGTTCCGTGGTACGCGAACCTCCACAGGACAAACATCATCAAATCCTGAAAGAAAGGAGAAATATCCTGATTAAGCAACAAAACCATCAAGGGCATAGATAAGATCATGTGTTTGATTATTATGCAGATATAAAATTATGCAGATATAATGTATTGTTCATTAAACCATCCTAAATGTACTGAGAACATGAAAACAAATTACACAGTGTGGTGTGTTAGATACATAAGTACTGTTTTCGCTGTGTGTGTGTGTGTCTGAGTGATTAGGTGTTATTGGTCTTTAATATCAAAACTTTCAAATCAAATCATAATCAAACAAATCACTTTTATTATCACTAGAACAAGTGAACTAGTGAGTGGAGGTCTTGGGTCTAGAGTTCCCCATCAGCAGCACAATACAATAAATAAATACAAATTGTACATAAAACAACTGTACAATAGTATGTGCTATACAGTACATATGCACAAAAAACAATACAATACACACAGTACAAAATATACCATAGAACAAAGAGACAGACTGTAGGTGCAATAACAACACAGATTAGTGCACAAACAAGGCATTTCATTAGTGCACTGGGGAGTGGAGGTGGTGTCCTGGGGGCCCTGATATTATCTGCTGTTCAGCATCCTGGTCACCTGATGTCTGAGGCTGCTGGCTCAGCACCCGATGCTGCGGTGTCTGTGTGACGGTAGCAGGAGGAACGGAGGGCTGCTGGGATCTCTGATGATTTATGCGGCTTTCCTCCGTCACCGCCTGGCGTATGTGGCCTGCAGGGGGCAGTAGCAGGGTGAGCAGAGCGTGGCTGGGCTCCCTGATGGTTTTCCGCCTGGCGTAGGTGACCTGCGAGGGTGGTAACTCCCCTCCGATGATCTCTGGCAGACTTTCAGGTCGACGTCTGCCGTACTGTCACTGGGAGTCTGCTACAGTCATCAGGTACAGTTGCTGGACATATTGCCATCCAACCCCCCCATACGACTCCCTCCCACCACAATCACACCCGCTGACAACCATCCACATCATAGTTTCCACAGTTAACATGCAGCGTCTTCCCTGTCATTTGGTATCAGTCCCCTTCACATGGAAAGAATGAAGCAGCAGTTTCAGTGCCGAAGGCTCTCTCAGTCTCTCCCAGGCTCTCTCAGTCTCTCTCAGACTCTTTCAGGCTCTCTCAGTCTCTCTCAGGCTCTCCCAGGCTCTCTCAGGCTCTCTCAGTCTCTCTCAGGCTCTCTCAGGCTCTCCCAGGCTCTCTCAGGCTCTCTCAGGCTCTCTCAGGCTCTCTCAGTCTCTCTCAGGCTCTCTCAGTCTCTCCCAGGCTCTCTCAGTCTCTCCCAGTCTCTCTCAGGCTCTCTCAGTCTCTCCCAGGCTCTCTCAGTCTCTCTCAGACTCTCTCAGGCTCTCCCAGGCTCTCTCAGGCTCTCTCAGTCTCTCCCAGGCTCTCTCAGTCTCTCCCAGGCTCTCTCAGTCTCTCTCAGACTCTCTCAGGCTCTCCCAGGCTCTCTCAGACTCTCTCAGTCTCTCCCAGTCTATCTCAGGCTCTCCCAGGTTCTCTCAGGCTCTCTCAGGCTCTCCCAGTCTATCTCAGGCTCTCCCAGGTTCTCTCAGGCTCTCTCAGGCTCTCCCAAGCTCTCTCAGGCTCTCCCAGGCTCTGTTAGGCTCTCTCAGGCTCTCCCAGTCTCTCTCAGGCTCTCTCAGTCTCTCTCAGGCTCTCCCAGGCTCTCTCAGTCTCTCCCAGGCTCTCTCGGGCTCTCTCAGGCTCTCCCAGGCTCTCTCAGGCTCTCCCAGGCACTCTCAGGCTATAAGAAGGTGGATGGATGGATGGATGGATGGAATGATGATGGGTGGATGGATGGAAGGATGATGGATGGATGGATACTAGAGAAAAGAGGATGTTTTCTCTTGGAGATTTCACTTGTTTGAATTGGTTTAATGTTGCTGTAAATTAGGGTGCACTCGGAAATCACGATACTGCAGACAGGCAAACAGACCATTACTATAACGCAAAACATAATGCATATCGGAAGTTATGCCAGCAAACAAATCGAATGAGCAGTGTTATGATAATCTTAATTGGCAATTAACTATCATTATGTCACTGATGCTTACTTAAGACCAGTGTAACCGAGGGCAATAACATTTAGTAAAGCTTTATATTCATAATAAACCTGTTTGAGGCTATGGATTGTTCCACATGATAATCACAGTGTTTGCGTTTTATCGATTAGGCCAATTAAACTGTTTTAATTGTTGCTGGATGGAGCTGAAGAAACAAACAGAATACTGTAAGTAACATCCAATTTAATGCAGATCGAGTAATTAAATCAGCAGGTATTAAATGATTGTGATTGTGAGATACCCTAGACGTCAATGCAAAGCCTACGGAGACGAATACAGATCTGAAAGTGATTTCACGGAATAAGTCTTTCAAAAAACTCAACTATGCCTACGCAAAGAGTTTAGGGAAATCGACCATATAAGATGTACGATCCAAAGAACTAACTGATTTTTGTATTCAGACAGGCTGTGGTAGGGAAAAAGCCCCTCTTTGTATTAAAACATACGGTCGTGAAATTTCACCCATGTGGGTTTGTGAAAGTTGAAAAGCATTTACCGTAATCCCCCTGCAGCACAGCGAGAGGATGCGCTCGTGACGGCGACCAAAGCCCCCTCACCAGCTACCGACAGCTGCTCCTCCCCCAGAGAAGCTTCATTGGCTAAGCAGCATTTAATTTGAGCCCTTTAATCTCGCTTTTCCCCAAAGTGACTTTCATATATTATACAAAAATTAAGGAACTTAATTAGTCGGTGCATCATGTTTATTTCAGGGTACCCCTAAAATACTAGCGTATAATTTTCCACCTTAAAATACCATCAAAAATGTCAATAGAGATGTAAAAGATAATGTGTTTAGGAATAAACTATTTAACAGTTTCCTAAGCATAAGGTTACCATACGTCTAGGTTTCCTCTTTTTGGGCGCCTGTCCGGGCGTCCAGGCGGTTTATCATAAATCAGCGGTTTGTCCAGGTTTAGCGCTGCAACCCGTATGACCCGGTGTACCGAGTTTAAGAAAAGGCACCAACTTTCAAGATACGGCAACCGCTCAGTATCATCACACCTTTATACCTTTTAAGGTACAGAAATGGATTCTGAGGAACATCCCTAAGGTACAAACAGCCTTAATGTACCATCAATAGTGCAGAAACTTCCTCAGAGTCCATTTCTGTACCTTAAAAGGTAGAATTACCTACAGCTAAGGGTACAATTGGCAGACCCTTGAGGGTACAACCACAGTGTCAAGCAAAGGTACAAATTTTTACCCTTCTTTTCTGAAACAGTACACACCACACTGCTCATGAGTGACATCAACTTCCGGAAAACTTCATCATTTTGTATTTTACTATTTTTGTCACATCACATCGTTTGCAAACTTTTGTTTAGCGTTTTGTAACCTTTGTTGAAAAAGAATTGTATACATGTATATTGTGTCAATTGTATGCAGATTGTAAAACCAGAGTTAACTGTTACACAGCTAACAACTAAAAAGTATTTTATCGTATTTTCATTTTTTGGTAAAAACATCATTGTCTTCGTTTTTTATTATAAATTGCTCGCACTTTCTAACTGTGGCTGTTTGCCTAGCAAAGACGGAAACCATTTTTATTTTTTTTATTTATGTGACATTTTGTGAGCGTCAGAGCGTCCTCTTTTTCGTCTTACCAAATATGGTAACCCTAAGTATGTTATGTGTATTTGCTTGTGCTGAATATCAAATGGGAAAAGACATATCCTGATTTAAAAAAATATTCAACCTAATATATTCTACCTCTTGCAAACCCTGAAGATGTAGCTGAATTCTCATTACTGATGTCCATCCATCCATCCATCCATCCATCCATCTTCTTACCCTAATCAGTCCACAGCCTATCCCAGAGGCTACGGGTGCAAGGCAGGGAACAAACCAGGATAGGTTGCAGGGCACACTCACACACCAGTCACTCACACACCAGTCACTCACACACCAGTCACTCACACACCAGTCACTCACATATGCACCTGATGTACTTAAGTTTATTTAGAATATTATGTATATGACCTCTGTGTTCATATATCACCCTACAAATTTTAATTGCAGGATCGATACATGATGCCTCATTCAGAGGCCAAGCGAAAAGGACAAAACATTGTACATAAAGTCTGCATTCACTCTGGACGCATAAAACGATAAAACACCAGGCATTAAGAGCCAAACCTGGACCTGGTAATAGCACCATGATGTCATACACATCACCCTCCTCTCCGAATTCTTTTATCTTATTTTCTATAGTCTCCTCCATTTGGACTGAAACGTCGAAGCTCAGTACTGGACCTCTGGTCTGCACCAGTTCTTTTTTTCTCAGGCCCATATACCAGACTGAACCAGACACTGAGGTAAACCCTCCATTTTGTTAATGTTACTACCTGTATCCATTACAACATAATTACTATTACTGTTGCCCTGTTGTTACCAGCAGTCTACATTATATTCATGTCATACAGTTGCTGTGTAATATGTTTCATACCTGAAGGCAGTTTTTTATACTGTGACTTCATACCTTTACAGTCTCTACAGGCTTAGATGGTTATATATGTATATCTGCACTCATTTACAGGCCATCTAATTAGCATCAGGTACCAGGAGCTGCTCCGAGGGCAGATGAATTGTACATTCAGGGATGCCTTTCCAAACAACCCGTTATTTTTTTGCTTTTGGCTTCTCTGACAGCTTTAGCAAGTTTGGCCGTTCTCCTTCCACCTCTCCCATTAGCTAGGTGCTTCCCCCAAAGAGCTGCTGCTGACTTTATTTGGTTTGTTTATCGCACCGTCCTCTGTACACTGTACACCAGGAGTGTCAAACTCCAGTCCTGGGGGGCCGGAGGCCCTGTGTAGCTTAGTTCTTTCCCCCTTCCACCACAAATGATTCCGCTCAAGAGCTGTCTGGTAATTAGCACAAGGAGTTGAATCAGGTGTGTTAAATGAAGGTGAACCAAAAACTGTGTAGGGGTCCGGTCCTTCAGGACTGGAGTTTGACACCCCTGCTGTACACATTGTAGTAAGTAACAAACTCAGGAAGGCGTCTGTTTTTAATTTGCTGCAAACCACTATGTATGGCACCAAGAATAAAAACCCTGGGGAAATGATTTTGATCACGTGTCTTAGTGATTGCAATGTTTTACCAAGCAGTATGTGGACCTCTTATCTATGTCTTTATGCTGCATGAGTTCAGTTGCAGCCAAATTATTTGTTGTTTATTAGTGCAAGTTGTGTCCATTAACAAGCAGCTGAACCTAATAAACGTATAAATGTATGACGTATGTATGTTTCATATTCATTACATTTAATTTGATATTTATTGTACTTAATATTATACCATTCATATGACATCATCCTTTATATTTCATATGTCTATATATTTGGGTATACATCTATTTATATATTACTATCTTTTTATGTAAGCATAACTTACCATATTGCATTTTGTTGCATCTGCTGTGCAAAATGACACAGATTCAGTTTAAACTCAGTGGGCATCCATGAAAGGATTTTTTTCTACAACGCAGAGCATTTACTGATGCCCAATGGCTTCTCTACAGCACATCTCTGTCAATCAGTTACCAGCAGGAAACCACAGAGAGCAATCTCTTGGAAAAGTATTGGCTAGTCTGAGGTAATTTGTAGATAAAAATGAACAGTTCTGCACACATTAATAATTTGACGTGAATAAACTATTAGAGAGATTTCACTCACAGATAATGCCAGTTATCCGGTAACTATGTCTTACCTGAATATATAGTTAAACATCAGTTAGTAACCCACTATGAACAAAACACCTCCAGACTTTTCCCAATTATTCAAAATAAGCAGTCGATAAAAGATTGGGAGAATCATGAATCAATGATTTCTAGCATATATTTTTACGTTTAATAAAAAAAACGAGTTCGCCTTTAATTCATTACCGAGTTACCCATTCACCCAGGTAGCCAAGGGGTGTATTATGCGGCGGAATCATGTTGAAGGGCTGTTTTTGTAGCAGCTACTGTACACCAACCCAAACAGGGCTCTTTGTGAAGACCCCCATGTGGAGCAGAAGGCATCTGGGGTGGGGGTTTCTCAGACATCCTGTTTGCGATGCTCTATACTCCCCTGTTTCTTGCCCTATCTAACGGGAGTTTGTTTTTTTTGTGCTGATGGCGTAAACAGGAATCTCCGGTTAATTTATATTAATTTCTGACTAGATGCTAAAATTACATAATTTTCCACGATGCCCATGACAAATCTCCCCAGATGTGTCTTCTACTTTTTATTGAATATCACTTTAACATTGCATAGAAATTGGCTCTTGTCAAGGTTGCATTAACTGTTTTGTTTCGACAGTCTAAAAAACACCAATAGTCTCAAAATAGCAAATGATTGTCAGCATTAACCCTCTTTATTACTGACCTGTGTTAAGGGACCAGTTCTTCGGCCTTTTGTTAAAAACCGAGAACACAATAATAAATCCATCCACTATTTTTGCTCATTACATACATACTAAAACCTTTCACCAAATTAATCTTATTCATATTTTAAACGTCTACCTTTTTAAACCTCCGTGTAGTTATGAAATCAAATCTAGTTAAGCTGTTTGCGAAATTCTGTCCCCCTGCGATTTGAACTAGCCGTCTTTAAAAAGCAGAACAGTGGATATGAATGGTATGAACTGAAATAAAAGCTTTTTTATTGTTAACCTGAAGCAAATCGCTACACCTCTACAAAAATGATTCGGACCATCACAGAAACTTACCGGAGATGCCACGATCCACACAGAGCAGCAGGAAAAATAAGACCAAGGGGGTGATGTCTGGCCATGGATTCTCCATATCAGAACCTGGGGTGTCCTCTCTCCATCGGCAGGTGATGGCTCTGAAGGCCACTTCCCTTCAGTGCTGGTAAGTCATCCCTTTAGCTATTAGACTGTGTGTGTGCATGTGTGTGTCGCTCAGTAAGGATCCAGCGTTTTAGAGGTACTGAAGCTGAGTTCCTCTGGCCCTCACTTCTGACTGTGGAAATGTGTGGTTCAACCCCCTTCTCTGTCACTCTAACATGTGGTTTCACTTCCTTCACTCAAACACTTCCTCATTTCATAAATTCATTTACCTGCGAATGTGTACCTTACATTTAAAACTAGTGTTAAAGTTCACGTGGTCACCTTCACTCGTGTCAAAGATTCTGGCTGTGCACTTCACCACGTGGAGATACGACTTTAGCGTAACAGCTAAAGCAACATCTCAGGAAGCTGTCTAAGACTGACCGGCAGAATCAGACATCAGATGCTGGGAGAAGCCCTATCTCAGGCAACTGGTGACCAACATGATTTCACCATGCAGGACTGACACGTTCTCTTGAACCGGTTAGAAATGGCCAAGTTTTTTGTGTCTCTGAATTGGCCATAGTGTGTGACTGTGTGCGACCGCATGTCCTGCATGGGGGGGGTGTTCCTCTGCCTTGTGCCCTGTGTGTGATAGAACCGGCTCCAGATTCACCATCACCCTGTACTGAGTAAAATAAATAGATGGATGACATCACAGTTCTGGCATGTTGCGTTGACACCTAGGGCTGAGTATTGGAAGTCACTGGCCTGTGATAATCTGTCGTTATGTCAGTAAAATATATCATATGGGGGACTTTTAGGTTGTGACTCATATTTATGCGGTCAATCAAACCAGTGTAGTGTATTGCTCTGCTGTGATCTTGTGCACGCACAGGGTGAATCAGCAGTAACAGACTCAAAGACAGTGACAAATATGTAGTAATAGTATCCTGTCTCTCTCCCCACAGAGATTAATATTTGGTGCAAGAAAGTGATTTGTTAACACGCAAACTCACTGGTAGCCGTCATTGATGCTCTCACTGGTAGCCGTC